TCATCTATACACTCAGGAGCAATAGAAGTATTACAGTTATCACCTTGATAAAATATAAATAAGAAAAAAAACAGGAATAAATATTATAAAGCAAGACATACATGTCAAAATTTTCAGATGACTGGCTCCCTGAAAATTTCATGAAATAAGTGAAAAAATATTATCATAAGAGAACTTACTAAGGCAAAAAGACTATAAATAAGGCTGACACAACAGAACCAACAGTTTTCCTTTCCATTACCACTACTGCATTAGAAAAAATTCATTCACAATGGCAACAAAACTAAAACACAAATTCTAAGAGCAATCTGCGGTTCTCTATAAAGAAAACTAAGATTTTCCTGTAGCATATACAAAATAAATAAAAAACAATGTTTCTAAAAGGAAAGGCCTACATTTCCCATTTTTCACAAATTTTAATAATATTCCCAAGGAATTGGGTGAGCTTAAAAACACATAAGAGAAAAAATGCAAAAGAATAGCCAAAATGTATTTTTTAAGAAAAATAGGGGAAAAGATGGATTTTGAACCCCCACATAAGTTTGTCTTAAAGTAGCTCATTCACTTTATATGTCACTGGATATATCTATTATTATCAAGACTTTCTAGGAAAACAGAAGTGAATAAAACATAGAAACCCATTCTCAAAAGAATCTGTGCATATATTTCTTAAAATTCTCAATTAATAATATTATTTCATATAAGCACAAAAAGTTAACAACATAATGAAAAATTGAGTCAAAAACCTAAAAGAAAAGAAATCCAGTGAAGGCCATCCTAGTAGTGCAACCTTTTATTTTGCCCTGTGGGCAAGTCCTATGTGAAAGAAATAGCTGTGAAATCAGATTGCATTTTGATGGCAAAAGGTAAACTAGATATAAACCAGCCTTTCCCAGATCTAGCTCTTGCTAACTTTAGATCATCTGATTAGGCCAGTAAACTCAAAACTTAAACTTGGATTAAGGTATTCTAAACTAATAGCCAAAGTTTTCAAATATAATGTTCAGTATACAAACGTCTGGGCAAAAAGAAACATGACACTATGAACAAGATGAAAAAGCATCAAAAGAACCAGATCTATAATATTTTTAAATTCCAGAATTATTCGATGTGAAATACAATGTGAATCATATTCAAAGGGGAAAAAAAAAGCCAAACCTGGGTACTAGAAACAATAAAAAAGTATATCTGAAAAAGTACTAAATAAAATTCTAGACCTGACACTAGTGGCTGAGAAAATTAAAGTGGAAGGTAAATCAAAAGAGACTAGAATATAGCATTAAGAGTAAAAGAGAAAACAGAGAAGGTAAATAAATAAAAATCTAGCAAAGGCAGCGAGAAGAATTTAAAATTGGAGTACCAAAAGAACGAGAGAAACGAGGCAGAAAAATTATAGAGATATTGACTTTCTTCCAGAATCCAAAAGAGACTCCAAACTTGACAATAAAAATCCCTACACATAGATTGAAGTATTATAGTAAAAATTTCAGAAAATTAGATAAAAAAGAAAATCAGCCAGGAAATTTAGACAATGGACATTAGTGACAACTAAAGCAGAAACAAAGCAGAAAATGGTGGAATAAAAGCTTCAACATGTGGGGAGAAAATAAATGCAAATCTAGAATTCCACACTCATAAAATATTATTCAAGAATTAAGTGAATAAAGGCCTCCTCACACAAACAAAAGCCAAGAACATTTGCCACAAAAGACCTAAGAAACTTAAAAGGATGGAATTGATTACATTAAAATTAAGGATTATTCATCAAAAGTAACCATAAAACAAATGCAAAATAAAACAACAAAGTAGAAGATAACTGCAACACATACAATTTAAGGATTAGTGGAATTCCTACAGTTAATATGAACAAAGACAGATATCCCAAAAGAAAAAAGAAAAAAAAAGGGGGGGGGGGGACAATTTGTGAAGGCATTTCTCAAAGAGGAAACCCAAGTAGGCAATAAACATAAGAAAAGACAAAACCTAGGGAAATGTAAATTAAATTCACAATGAAATGCCACTTACACCACTAGCAAAAATTTTTAAATTAGACCATATTATTAGTGAGGATCTGGAGGAACAAGGCCTCTTATGCACTCCTGTGGAAATATAAACATGTGTGATCTTTTGAGTTTTGTTTTCTCTTTGAAGCATATACTCTATGACCCAAAATCCCCATTCCTTGGCATGGAGCCTAGAGAAAACTGCAATGGCGTTTATCAGCAGAAATGTAAGAATATTTAGAGCTCCATAGCATTTAATGCCATAACTGAAAACCTAAATATGTATCAATAATAAAAATGGATAATTAAATGGTCACACTATAATGCAGTAACATACAATAATGAAAATACACTATAGCTAACAGAACAACAGAAACGAACTTCAAGGACAACACTAAGCAAAAACTCCAAGACACAAAAGAAAACATGATTCCATTTCTATAAAATACACCAAGTAAAAATAAAGTACATGTATTCATAAGAAGTCAAACTCTTAAAAAAAAGAGTATATAAATGATTATTTTAAAAGTCAGAATTGTGCTAGAGATACAGTTCAGCATTCATAAGAACCTGGATTTGACCCTCAGCACTGCCACACAAACACACAATAAAGAAAGGGTGAGATGAAGAGCTCAGTTGGGGGTGCTGGCAATGTTTTACATCTTGTCCTTGTAAATAAAGTACTTTTTAGTACAGTACTTTAATGTACTTCATCTTTCAGTAAAACAAATTTGGCAAGAGGCAATCTGTACATACCTAAGAATTATTTGACCTATTAGATTAACAGTTCAGCCTTCTAAATTTAGTAACTGCATAATCAACTTTGAGTTGTGATTTTAAACTAGACATCTTACTAAATTATATGAAATATTAAAGTATTCAAGATTATTCAAGTGTCTCCATATTTTGCAGGTTTAATTTTTTATATTTGGAAAAAATAATTTATGCATCATTTTTTTTTTAAATTTTTTGATTTTGGGGATGGACTGGGAATGGAACCCAGGGTCTCATGCACTCTACCACCCAAGCACTCTACTACTGAGCAGCATTCCTGGCCACTGAGAACAGTTTAAATAAGAGAACTGAGGTTATTGAAATAGGAACTAAATGTGAATTAATAAATGTAGTTAAAAATATTTGTACAATGTTATAAATGAAAGTAAACATTGTCTAAAAGTTCCTTAATTAAAGTATTTGCTGAAATTGCCTAATTTACCAGTAGAAAAATCTGAATCCAAATATCTTTACTATAAAAAATACGCTTTGTTTAACTTACAATTGCTTTTATTTAAAAAAATTTTTTTAATAAATTTTATTTTAAAATTTTTATTTGGACACAATAACTTTATTTTTTTTTGTTTATTTTTATGTGGTGCTGAGGATTGAACCTAGCACCCTGCATATGTTGGGTGAGTGACATATGTTGGGTGAGCCACACCACAACCCCAGCTCCCCAATTGTTTTTAATTTAAATTCTTCTTAGATGTGGTATTGGACACTGAACACTGAGCTATAGCTTCCTAAGCAGCTGGGATTACAGGCATACACAACAACACCTCACCTGAATTATTATTCCTTTTTTTTTTAGAGAGAGAGAGAGAGAGAAAGAATTTTTTAATATTTATTTTTTAGTTTTTGGCTGACACAACATCTTTGTATGTGGTGCTGAGGATCGAACCCGGGCCAAGCGTGCTACCGCTTGAGCCACATCCCCAGCCCCTGAATTATTATTCTATTTTCATGACTGATTTCTTTTTATATTTAGAAGTAGAAATAATTATTTAAAATATTGTTCAATATACAAGAAATTTAACGTAGGTTTAATTATGAAACTAGTGGTCTAATTCTTCTACTTGTATCCATATCTTTTTTTAAAATATTTATTCTTTTAGTTGTATATGGATACAATATCTTTATTTTATTTTATGTGGTGCTGAGGATCGAACTCAGGGCCTCACACATGTGAGGTGAGTGCTTTACCGCTGAGCCACAACCCCAGCCCCATATATCTTGATAATTACCTCGGCAAGACAAAAATCATAAAACTTTTAAGAATAAGAGCTAAAAGGGGTTCTAGAAATTGCTAATTTTCCCATTAGAAATCCTATGTTTTGTTTTCACTTCCAAATTTTATTTGCCTGTAGTAAATCTCACAATTAAAAATATATGAGAGAGAGAGAGAGAGAGAGAGAGAGAGAGAGAGAGCGCGCGCGCGCGCGCGCGCGCGCTATGGCCCATGCCTGTGGTCCCAACTATTGGGGAAGGCTGATGCAGTAGGATTATGAATTCAAGGCGAATCTGGGCAACTCTGCAAGACTACCCTATCTCAAAAAAAAAAATTGTATGTACATAGGCTGGGGTTGTAGCTCAGTGGCAGAGCACTTGCCTCAGTACCACATAAAAAATAAATACTGTGTCCATCTACAACTAAAAACATATTTTTAAAAAGTACATGTATGTATGTGTGTGTGGATACATATACAGATATGTCTATACAGGTATACATACTATATATATATATATATATATATGTGTGTGTGTGTGTGTATACACACATTTTTCAATATGGAGAAAGAAATAACCATCAAAGAATTTTGCACAATAAGAGATAAACGATACAACAAGACTTGGTATATTTTAGTCAAAAGTAAAGAATCTATCAGGCCTTCTGAAAAACTGAAAACAACTTGCAAGTACTTTTCCCTTATCTAGGACCCTAGAGATCAGGAGACCCTTGGTGGGACAATCCAGCCAACCAACCCAATGTTCTAAGTTCACCTATAACATGTTCCTAGTTTAAAAGGTTTAATTTATCATTAAAGGGAGAAAATTATCTTCCTCATATGTTAATCTATGCAATGTTTCTAGCAAAACTATATTCTGTGAACAAAGTAACCCAATACACATAAATAATTTAAATCAGGGAAACACAACCTCAAGTGTACTATTTTCACCAATAAGAAATTAAATAAGAAATGCTTCACATTATAGACATTATAATTTTCTTTAAGTCTTTTTTTATTTAGAGATTTTTCTGGTAAGGAGATATACCATAGGAAAGCAATTTCACTGGCAGTGAGGTATGTATACACTCTACCAAAATACTCCTTATTTTAACTGTTTTTAACTTTATTTACACATAAAGAAAAGTATCAATGCATATCCTCGGTTCAACTATAATATTAGCCAAACTACATGAAATTAAATGAAATGGTGCCTGCATACAAAAACTGTTATTTGTAAAGGAATCTAATTTCAAATTAAAAGAACTAACTTGTTTTTGGAAATAGTTGAAAAGAATAATCACAATTTATCATGACCAAGACACCTGCACCATATTTTCCATTCCTCACAGCACATTTATTTCAGTAATTCCGTTATGTCGGTTCTTAGCATGAGCATAGTGTTACACAATTTTCATACATATAATCACATCCAAAACAAGTTCTAAAATTTAAATTGTAAACATTCTCATCATATGTAGAAATATTTTAATTGGTGTATTAAGTTTTGCTAACTGATCAAATTTGGAAGATAATATAAATGAGAAAGCCTATTCTAAATTRTGTAGTGAGCATCGTTTATTACATTTCTACAATGTTAAATAAAGTAAGAGGCAAACCTGTCCTGTAAGCATGTCAAATTTTAGGTAGAACACTAAAAAGAAACAAATCTGTTAACAAAAGGATGTCTTGCAATAAAGAACATTAGATTTTTAAAATCTATTATGATACAAAAATGTAAAGGGTAAATAGCATCTTTGTTGACAAAGTAGGAGGTAGCATGGATGCACCACTTTATTGTCTGAGAAATGCAACTGGAGTAAAGAATATTTCCTTACCACAAATAATTTCCAGGACTATGTACATATTTCTTTTAGAAATACTTGTTTAAACAAATCTCCCTCCACTTTTTAGTATAAAAAAAACCGTTCCATGTGATTTTAAAAAAACACTTACACATCTAGATAGAATAGTACTCTGCCCTATTTGAGTGAACAGTCTCAAACTATGAAGTACATGATATTTAATGCCCTAAGTTGAGTAAATTTAGTTAGCAAGTTCCTGGTATTATACAAAACACTAAATACATACAAACAAAATATAATATCTTATATTTCTATGCAAGTCTTGTGGGGAATAAACAGAGCCTTGATTCTGGTAACACTGCAGAAAACATAATTTTCCAATAAGTCTGTCTATATGTATCCATGTGCAACATTTATAAATGGCTGCTTACATGTAAGGTCTTTTATTGAGTGAACATAGTTAACCAACAAAACTTAGTAAATCTTAAAAACACATCTTCCACTCTATATAAAATATATAGACTACTTACTGTTTTTAAGTGTTCAATTTGCTCTGATGTCACTGTAAATTCACTTTCCCCATTTTCCTGCTTTAGTATTTATAAACGGATAATTTATTGTGGTTTACAAAAAAAAAAAAAAAAAAGAATTTAAAATTTACATCCAATTCAAATTTGCTATTTAAAAGGTTTCCTGGTTCTATGAAGCTGCTTCTGCCATTAGTAAAGAAAATGAAGTTTCTGTAATGGAAGCAGGCTTTTTAAGTAGTGACGTGACTTCCACCATGCCAGCTCCAGTCCGTGGAAGATTAGCGTTTACAATGTGTCGTTGTAAGTGCTTAATCCAGTCTTCTTGAACAGACAATGGTCCTCGAAAGACTAGGCCACAAAACCTATAGAAGTTGATAAAAGTTCTGTTAACCAATTCCTTTTATTTAAAGTCAACTTACATAAAATCCATAAAACATTTAAGGAACAAACCTTACTATATACTACATATAGCACCCTGATAATATCTAAATGAAGTTGAGATGATTTAATGATACTGAAACTCCTAATTCCTATGTTTTTATTAAGAGTTATAATAAGTTAAAAAAATACAAATCTTAAGTAATTTACAATTATCACTCCAAAATGTGCCATTCTCTGAAGACCCATCCTCAATTCAGAATTCTTTCTTATGTGAGTATATGAAAGGAGGTATTGTATGAGGGGAAAGTAAAATGTGTTCCTAATAATCAGGAACTTATGACAGTAAAAACTGAAACTGAACCAAACTAAACAAACCAAATTTAAAAACCACAACAATTAAAAAGTCACTTTTACAAATCACAGTATAATGGAGGCTCTTGGCTAAGTATAAAATGATTTAGAAGTTCACTTATAACTTGATTGTTGAATGTACCTTAACACCAATTAAAAATCCCAAATAAAACAGCTGAAGAAACAGAGTAGATATGGCAATATAAGTATATACCTGCATCGGAGAATGTAAACCTCGTCAGCACCATGAGGTAACGTTAACATTTTCTTTTTGCTTCCAGATCTTGACCTTGATTTCTTTTGTTTACAATCTAAGGCTAAAAAAGGGAAGAGAAAGACTTAAATTCCTTATTTATTATGAAATAGACATACATATTTTTAGAGAGGTCAGACCACCAAAATCAAGTTAGAAAAAGTTTGTATTTATTTTCCGAGGCATGCACTAACTTGTAGCTGAATCTCTAACAGCAGTAATGCTATCTACATATATTTGTCTTGTATTCCTTTTTTCAAATAATACTTTACCATTCCAAATTAGAACTGATAAAATATAATAACTGGAAACTACGAAGTTGGTCAATAATTACCATAAAATTCTCGTGATCAAATGTAATCATAACATCTGGTTAAATTTTTCTTAACTCCAGGAAAATTTTAACGTTTTATATAAGATCATTAAATTGTTTGCATTTGATTACAATCTGCTCCATTTAAGTAGGTCTCACATGCTGTAAAAAACTGAGCAAGGGAACATAAATAATGTAATAAAAATCAATTTTCATGGCAATTCAAAGGCAAAAAAAAGCTCAACTTTCATTTTTAAATTCAATCTGTAGTAAGTGTAAAATCATGCAAACATGTAAGTTTTATTTTACTAGAAAATAAATATAAATCTGTATTATATAAATTTACAACTGAATGCAATGTTTGATGTTAACTATTCTTTACATTTTTTCCACTTTATACTTTCTACAATATTTTATTTTAAAAATGTGATTAAAAAGGGAAAAAAGGATTTTATATTTAGACCAAAATTTTAGTGCTAAGTGTTCTTGAAATCTTTCCATTACTTGACTTTTCCTGTTATTTATTCAAAACATTTTGGCTTAATAAAGAAAAAAGGTATTTTTATAAGCTGAAATAGGACATAACATTTTATAAGTCTTTGAATTCAGCTACACCATTTCTTTGGACAAAGGGATGATAGTAATTCCAGGGTGCTGCTGTCAATTAGCAGGAAGAGAAGGTAAAGAGTTTATCTCTAGGAATCCAAGGGGAAGGGATACAAATGTAACAGAAGAGTCACTCAAAATGGCTTTTCTTCTTATTCTGCCACCTGAAATCCCCTGAAAAAATTCCAAGTAAGAGAGAACAGGAACTGGCTATTCAATGATTCTGTGAAATGGGTTTTTCAAAGTCCGGATTCCAAAAGAACAGATGCTACTAACACAAAACCAGTAAACATAGTTCCTTATAATAATCAAGTGGCAATGCCAACAGAAATGCCACAGAAAATTAAAAACCATATAAGAAGCCTAAATTTCATTCAAGCCGCTGATTTTGGCATCCTGTCACCTGCCTGTTTAAAAGTAAAAACAAATCTAAGACACACAGTCTTTTTCTGTTTCATTCTTACAACAAGAGTCTATAAGTAATAAGAACGACTGGAAGTAAAGTTTTAAAGAATGGCTAATTCAAAGGTAAACAACCAAAATCTGGGACAGAAAAATCTTCTAAGGTTTCATTCGTTATTTCAGTCAAGAGCTTGGCACATAACAGGAACTCTACAAATAAGTCTAGAATAGAAATAAAGCAAAACTCAGTAATTAAACTGACATTTAGACAGCCCCTGAATGGAAATCTGTTCTAGCCCTATGTAATACAGGTAATATTCCTAAGCAATACCTTGGCATCTTTTCTTTAAATATCACACATTCTTAGATATAGATCACTGGCTAGCCAAGCTTATGTGTAGAAACTAGGTTCTTCATAACTAACATGAAGACTACAGTACCACATATTTTGTTAACAGCAGCTGCTTCTTCCTAATTGTTGTGGTGAGCAATTTGAATTTAAGTGAATTTTAAATGATTCACACACTGGAAATGAGAGTTCAGGGAACTCAAAAGGTAAGATAGTAGATGTTAGCTACTCTTTCCACTTGTAATGTAAACTATACACAACCCCTGCCTCTGTTATGCGGAACAGAGTAAGCATTTCGTTTATCATGAGACTACTGGCAGAATATCACTTTGATGAACTTGCTGGTTGTCAAAATGCCACACTCTACTCAAACTTTCTGAAAAATGTAAATAAATTACTCCAGGATGCAAACAGAATACATTATAACAATACTTAAAAACTATGTTCACAGAATATTAATGTGAGGGGCATAAAACAAATTGAGAGAGGGTAAGAACGTATGCTAAAGAATGGTTTATGAATTACAAAACATGTAATAAGTTACTTTTAGATACTGTGATACTTTAAACATGGAACATGCTTTACCAGGATGATGAAATAGCTTACACTTTTTCTTTAACAGAAAAAAAAACGGTATTTTCTGACTTTTGATGCTATATGTATGTTTAGGCAGTTTGATAAATGATCAGATATAAATTTTAAATGTGAATATCATGGCTTTTAYAGTAATTAAAATTTGAAGGTATTATGACTTTGGAAAGTAGGACAACTCCACCAGCACGAGACTGATAATTTCTGGTAGCTAGGGCTCCAAGTAAGTTAGACAACCTCATACATTAAAAATTCTTTCGAGGGCTGGGGTTGTGGGTCAGTTGTAGACTGCTTGCCTAGCACGTGTGAGGCACTWGGTTTGATTCTCAGCACTGCATATAAAGAAATGAATAAAATAAAGGTTCATCAACACCTAAAAAATATTTTTAAAAATTCTTTGAAATATATCTATAAGATTAAGGTATTAAAAACTTGAGACCTCTGATAATTAAATCCAAATGCCTCAGTGTCTTAATATCTTCATTATTACTCAAAAACTTCTTAGCCCTTGAAATTTTTTTAAGTTGGTAAAACATTACATTTAATAGGTAAGGATTTTTTTTTCCTAATACCAACCCTATTCCTGTAAAACACTGAGTAACTGACATATATACAAAGGGGACATTTATATGGTATCTTCTAAATAAAAGATGATTTACAGAAAAAGCTTCCCTATCTGAAAAAGGTGACATGCAAACATGCCTATTATCCAAATGTTGTCATTTAACAGATTTTATTGCATCTAGAGGGAAAAACAGTTTTATTCTGCACTGTATCAGGTTTCACTACATTAAATATAGAATGCATTCAACTTTAGTATAACACATTTGATTTTGACATAATAAAGCTCATCAATACTTGTGATCAACAGCCAAAGGTATAACAAAGTTGTTATATATGAGTATCTGCCAAATAGGTAACTCTGTTACACTAAGACTTTCTTTGTTGTAGGTTTTTATTTGCACTTATTAGCGTTAAAGAAGAAAAAACTCCCACACACCTTTTCAATTTCCAATCTGTATCTATATTTCCACATGCAAAATTACCAGATTAGTTATAGAAATTCTTAAGTTCTCTTCTCTGTGAGTAAAACTGCTTCTTTAGAAAGGAACAAATCCAGTCACTTATACCTTTCTGAGGTGGGCAATTTCAGCCAGAAGACTGTAAACAATCTTTGAAATTATCTGATTTTATGAAATATCTAAACTGGTACGGGAATAGTTACTTGTGGGAAGAACGAATTGAGTGTAAGGCCATATACAAACAGTTTTACAATATACCTTTCAGTAAAATAGCTGTTTTGAAATATGAAAGTGAAATACAACAGACAATGCATCCTCAAAAAGAACGCCATATTGCTATGCTATGAAACGGGAACAAAATGTCCAAAACATTAAACTAGATCAGTGAAAAGCATACAAAGAGATAATATAACACAAACAAATTCAAGTCTGTTTTCTGAACAACTGTTTAGTTTTGTACATAAAAGAAAAAGAAGTTACTTTTGGCTCTAACACTGTTACATAAAATCTTATGCCCCTTTCCACCTTTCTGTTCATTATATACAATAACTGCTTCTGCTTCAATGAATTTCATTATCTTTTTTCTTCACTGCAGAAATTACTTCAGAGAATAATAATTCATAAAATACCTGAAGCTTCTGTGATACAGAAGCATACCACAAAATTAAATTAACATTTACCACCAAAATATTTGTATTTGCAATTATCCTCCCCCATACCCAATCATTTAAAAGTCCTTTCATCTGTTTCTTCCCTGATTGTTGGCATTCCAGATATCTTAGTCCATTACCTGCTGTTTTATCAGCGTATCACAGACTGGATAAATCAGAAATAATGTATAAATATATTTGGCTCACAGTTCTGGAGGCAGGGAAGTCCAAGAGCATAGCACCACCAACTATGAAGGCCTTCCTACTGAGTCACACAACATGGTAGAAGGGAGTGAGCACACTCAAAACAGGAAATTGGGCAAATTCATCCTTTTATCAGGAATCCACTCCTGTGATAAATATCCAACTCCCACAATTATTACATTAATTAATTCATAAGGGTGGAGCCCTAATGGCCTGTTCACCTCTTAAACGCCCTACACCTCTCAATACTAATGCAATGGCAACAAAATTTCAATATTAGTTTTGGAGGGGACATTCAAACCATGGCATTCTGTACTATACCCCCTGAAAACTCACATACAAAATACATCCATGCTATTCCAAAAGTCTTCAAAAGTTTCAGTGTCAACTCAAGAGTTCAAAGTCCAGAGTCTCCTCTAAATCAGGCATGGTGAGACTCAAGGCATGATTCATTCTGAGGCAAATTTCTTCCAGTAGTAAGCCTGTGAAGTCAAAACAAGTTATCTACTTCCAAAATACAATATGATAGGCATTCTCATTCCAAAAGGGAGAAATAGGCAAGAAGGGGCATTAGACCCAATATTAAACTTTAAAGCTTCATTTTAACTTTTCTCCATGTGCTACTTCCTAGAAGGTTTGGACATCTTGAAAAGTGCCAACTCTCACAGCTCTACTGTGGCCTAGTGTGGACTTTCTGTAGCAGTTCAGCCCCTAATCTCTCTGCATGGGCACCCAGGTAGTCCATAGCATTCTTTGAAATCTAGGTGGGAGTACCATGCCCCCACAGCTCTTACATGCTCCATGCACTGGCAAACTTAACACCACATGGACAAAGCCAAGGCTTATCACTTTTATCTGAGGCCACTTAATCAACACTGCCCCACATAAGAAGGCAGGGAGCGTAATCCTATTGTCTTGGCACAAGGC